GAAGCCCAAGCTTTGCTGCTAACAGTGGAAACCAGCAGGAAGAAAGGGAAGAGGCCAGTTCTGGAGGGAGTGCGTTAAGAACCCCTTTTTTTCTTCTCACTGGTATTTAACAGAGGAAAATTTTAATTATGTGTCTTATTTCTAATCCAGGTAAAGATAACTAAGCAATCTTTAATGGAGCTGGCCCTGAGTGAGCAACTCAAGGAGAGGCAAGAAATGGAGAAAAAATTACAGAAGCTTGTGAAAACAATGGATTACTTGGAGAGGGCAAAAAGAGAAGAGTCTTCTCCGCTTATTGAAGCTGCTTATCTACGACGTCTAGCAGAAGAGGAAGCTCTTCATGAGCGTGAACAACAGGTATGCATTATAGTTTCTTATAGTCCTCAAAAGTTCTTTTTGCTGAGGCTAACATCTACTATACTTTTCTTCCATGTTCTCATCTTAACTTGACGTAGAGGTGTAATATTTTATTTGTATCATTAGTATGTTGACCAAACTCTTTATTATATATATGCAGCAAGAGATTGAGCTAAGCAGACAACGACATGCTGGAGATCTTGAGGAGAAAAAGAGGCTTGGTCGTATGTCTGAGAGCAAGGTTTAACTTTTTGGTTTATTACTTGATCTATGTGATAGTGAGATTGCTGGTATTCTGTTTGCTAACTTGTCAAATTGTTTGTCTAATGTGAGAAAACTTCTGCCTGTGACACTGGGTAAGGTGCTTATGGCGGACGATTATAACCTGGTCTAGTCTAATTGGAATCCAACTAGGACCAAATAGAATTCCAAAGTTCGATAATTTTGCTTTATGTTTATTTCAATTTGGGGCTAACCAAAACCGAGTTCAGAATTGAGTGAAAAAACTTTCTAGCAGAATTGTTTTTTAAACCACAACCTGCACGTCGTGGGATTCATCTTATTATTAGCATGGGCAGTTCGAAAATGTTCCCACATTCAAGTGATCTTGACCTAAATCTTAGTTCTAAGGCAACTAAACCTCAAAATAATAATTAGGCTGAGAGATTTTCGTAATGTTACTACTTCCCGACTGAGGTTCAATTGTTTTGTTGCACCTGGGTCCTGCAACTGTTGTAAACCTTCCAAATCTTTTCTTTACACTTGATTCATGCGCATGCTGCAATGGATATTATGCACAGTAGAAGGTTTATGTAAAGAATCAGAAGTACAGAGTAACGCAGTGACAAATTACCTTGAAGATTTAGAAAAGAACTTGATAAATTTCTTGCATTTGAGAATTGGATCCTACTAGTTTCATTTGAGGACTCATACTCATTGTTTGCTAATTGCTAACTTGAATTTCATGTATATTTCCTTTTTCATTTTTAATGCACACTGGCAATTTTAAGAAGTTGGCATTTAGATTTTAGTATTTTACATCTAATAAATTATTAGCTTGCTTCTTTTTGTAAAGTAGCATTCTTCAGTAAGTCTTAGTTAACTTCTTGAACCTATTTGTACAGAATTTATTCCAAGAGAGAGTGGTTAGTTGTAGGGAGGCTGAATTTAACAGACTTGAGATGGAGAGAGAGGAGCGGATCAACCAAATCATCCAGTCACGGAAACAAGAAAGAGAAGCTAAGAGGAAATTTATATATTATCTTAGATGTGAGGAGGAGAGGCAAATAAGATTGCGTGAAGAGGAAGAAGCACGGAAGCGTGAAGGTACTTTTTCCTGTTTGAATTCCAAATAAAATTGTAGGGATTTTGTTTTGGTTGATAGCATTCCTATTTTGATTCACTGAAATGTGCTTTATACTGCAATGCTGCTCAAGAAATTTTGATGCGTGATGTTACTTCTCCTGCCCCATCTCAGTCTGGATTTGGCGTTGTTTATATCATTCATTATTTCTTCATATGAATATTTTTGATATTGAGGCTTTCTCTTCCATTAGAATGCCACTATCACAATACAGATATACATGCCTATGGTCTCTGAACATATAAGCCCCTTTCTTAGTTAGTTGTTACTTAGGACTACATTACCCTGTTTCCTGTATTTGTTCGCTTTTGAGTATTTCAGGATATACTTGCTTTCTGCACTGATGCTTATGATTAGTCCACCCGAAACATTTGCATATTCTCTTCCAATTGGTGTAACTTCTTTACCATCACAGGAATAGATGTTTCTGGTAACTTAGCCATGCTTCTTTTTTCTGCACCCCTTCACCTGTGCAAGAAATCTAGTGGGTTTGGAGTTTACCCCATTGTTGGAGCCCATGGTCTTCCTTTACTTAATTTCTGTTCTCTTGTAACTATGCAGACTAAAAATAAAAAATCATGATATTTCAAGAGTTGAAAAGGTTATGGTATTTGGACTAAAGTCATATTTTGAGTTTACAAGAGTATATATCTTGATGATGTTTGCTTATTTGTAACTATATGTTGCATTAATGATGTGTAATGTAACATTTGCTTGTGGACGATTGGATTTTGCAGAGATGGAGAGGCGGAAGAAAGAAGAAGCTGAGCGTAAAGCCAAGTTGGATGAGATCGCTGAAAAGCAGAGGCAACGTGAGAGGGAACTGGAGGAGAAAGAAAGGCAGAGGAGAGAGGAGCTTTTGGGGAGATCGAATGCCCCGCCATTAAGGCTCTCCGACCAGTCTGCCATGTCACGTCCAATGGAAGCACCGCCCAGTGCTACTGCTCCAGCTGCTGCTGCACCAACTGCAGGTAAGTATGTGCCCAGGTTCAAACGCATGGCAGCAGAACCACCTGCTGAAAATGACCGGTGGGCCAGTGGTATTGGTAGCAGGATGGACGATCGACCATCTCAACCCGGTGATGGGTGGCGTGATGATCGTCGAACTTCCATTGGGGGTCCACCAAAGTCCACTTCCACTTGGTCATCCTCCAGGACTCGCGATCGTTGAGCTTGTGATCCATTTTGATATGCATTCTGAAGATTTTGGCTGCTGCAGTGCGGTTTCAATGTTTTAAAGGGCACTTTCTTTCACTATCATCCGGGATTTTGCTGTATGCTCGAGTCTGGGGATGGTTCTTCTTTTCCAATTAATGTTTTAATTATCTTTAAAATTTTGATGAATCTTGGAATGTTAGAGAGATTTGAATATCTGAACTGTTTTCCTATGGATATTGAACTATTTGAAGACATTTGCCATTGTTAATTGTTCGAATGTTGTCTAGAGGAAATAATGATTCTTTCCCCTGTTTTGTTCCATGATTATTCGTTCCTCTTCTAATTGATCAAGCTTTTGATCACCAACTTTTATTTTGTACTGTACTATTCAGTTTTTTTCTGAAAAAATACGATACTGTTGTAGCCTGTAGGAGAATCTTTTATAAACCACCGTGTTATGTTTGTTAAAGACCCTGTTCGACAACCATACTTTTTGAAAAATGGAGTTTTGAATATTGATTTTTAAGAGAATGTGCAGTAGAAAAGTAGGGAAAATTTTTGGGTTTAAGTGCAGTGTATGTTATTGTGTGAATGTATACTTGAAAATGAATATTTAAAAAAAGAGTTTGAAAAATATGGTTGTTCGGAAGTTGAATTTGTTTTATATTCCAGTTTACCCGAAAAATAAATGTATAAAAAATGTATATCCTGGCAACTGAATATTCTACTTACGGAAGCTACAAACTCCTATTCTCACTTTCCAAGTGGAAAATATACTTTCAGAATTTGATAGGAAAGGGGGAAAAAAAAAATTATTGTACTTCTACTCACTCTTTATTCCCAATAAATACTTCAGATAGTACTAGCGGAAACAAACCCAATAAAGAAACTGAAACTCGATTCATGTCTTTGTTTTGAGATTCAGAATCTTCCACAATCCTTTCCTCTTTATCCTGCCGGCTAAGAAAAGAGTGTTTTCTGTTGGTCAATGGACTGGTTGTTGAAAGCTCTTCACCAACTCATACTTTGAATCGCGGAAGAGACGTTCATATTCTCTGCTGCACTTTTCTTGGCTTGTGACGCTGTGCAATACTTGGAAGTACCATTAACACTGCGAGTGTCCATATTTTCAAGATTTCAAATTTTCTTCATAGTTTTTCATTTTTGATGATTCGTTTGATTGTGAAATACGTATCTTAACGAAGTTTATTTGGGATTTTGCCTGTGTGGTTGCAACTTGCAATTCCCTACCAAGTCACGCTCACAGTTCAATATTAATCCCATGTTTAGCTCTTATTTTCTAAAAATTATTTTTTCTCGAATTCATTTTTAATCATACATTCGATGAAAGTCAATAACTTTTATGAATTTTCAACTATATATCTATTAACTTTTTATCGATATGAATTGACCTAAACCAATTAGGGGCGGAATGTATAAATAATAAATGATATGCGCCAAACCCATTATGTGGGAGCATTGTTGGCACATTTTGTCACAAAACAAAAAGGCACAACCCATTATGTGAATATTTTGAGTCGTCCAATTCATCAGAGATTCAGAGTTGATGAGGTTAGACAACTTTTGACTAGATAAAAGGAATTGTTCTATTTGTAAACTTGGCGTAGATTAATTCAATTTGTTTTTCCAAAATTACGCGCCTTTTCGTAAAATTGAGAGAGACAAAATAAATAAAGTCTTTTTTCTGTGTAAAAATGATTTTTTTTTAAAAAAATGTACGATTAAAAAATTATGTTAAAAAAGATTTTGAAAAATCTCTTTCAAACAAATCATTGATATACTCCAAAACAATTTTTCCTTAGTAAGTGTTTAAATTGCTTATAGATAATTCTAAAGCGTGTTTAATAAACAATATAATTGCAGTTTTGTCCGAAAGAGGCCAAATTAAGTGCTTAGCTGACAACACATTTCACTGGCAAACGTTCTTGAATTAACGGTGTCGGCCATCTCTCTCTCTCTCTCTCTGTATATATACACACACACACACACACTTGTGTTTCTCTCAAACATTTTTCTAAATTTTTCCATTCTCTCGACCCAATTTTCAATCATACGCAAACCTTGATCAGATATTATCTCAGATCTATTTCAAAACCTATCAATGGCGGCTTCGCGTCGGCTTCGGGAGCTCCAATCGCAGCCGGGGAACAAGATCTGCGTGGATTGTTCGCAGAAGAATCCGCAATGGGCATCCGTCTCCTACGGCGTTTTCATGTGCCTTGAGTGCTCGGGCAAGCACCGCGGCCTCGGCGTTCATATATCCTTTGTTCGATCTGTGACGATGGACTCGTGGTCTGAGATACAATTGAAGAAAATGGAGCTCGGTGGAAATGAAAGATTTAATCAATTTATTTTGCAGTATGGAATCCCTAAAGAAACTGATATCGTTACGAAGTATAATACCAATGCTGCATCTGTTTATCGAGACCGGATTCAATCACTTGCTGAGGGCAAACCCTGGCGCGATCCCCCTGTCGTGAAAGAAACAATCAGATCTGGTAATAAGAGTAGTAGTTATAATAATAAACCTCCGTTGGGTGGTGGGGTTAGGGATGGTAATTCTGGGAACCATGCGGGTTGGGATACTTGGGATAGTTATGATGATGGAGGGTTTAGTGGAAATTCAAATAATAATATTAGGAGGAATAATACTGTGGGAGATTTTAGGAGCGGTGGAAATGGGGGAGGTGCACCGTCAAGGTCGAAGTCGACCCAGGATATTTATTCCCGGGCACAATTGGAAGCATCGGCTGCAAATAAGGAGGACTTCTTTGCTAGGAAGATTGTAGAAAATGAGACTAGGCCTGAGGGGATCCCACCCTCCCAAGGTGGGAAATATGTCGGCTTTGGGTCAACCCCTCCTCCGGTGCCAAGGAACAATTCTCAGGGGGATGTTCTTTCGTCAGTTACTCAGGTGCATTAGGACATATTCTTATGCAGATATTTTTGGTTATTTACGTGTTGATTATTACTAACGTGGTGTTGTATACGCAGGGATTTGGTAGGTTATCTGTGGTGGCGGCATCAGCTGCAAATGTTGTTCAAACGGGGACAAAGGAGTTCACTTCTAAGGTACTTTGGCTTTTCAGAAATTCGTATCACCGGTGCTTGTTATATTTGTCATTGTAATATCTTGAATTGTTTTGATTCTATTTCATATAACAAGCAATGTGACAATTGCGTAACCATCAAATCTGAGGGTGTAACAATTAGTATCACGTCTATGCATGATTGGTTGTTTTCTTGATATTTAGGTTGTCAAATTTAGTTTGCACTTATAGTACGTGTCATACTTGACTTGTATGCATTTATGGTGTAAAGGTTGGCCACTTCCTGGAAGGCGTAAATTATTTTTCCTTTGTTTCAGAATGACTAGTTTGTAGCTTTATAGAATGAAATGTACTGGATAGTTGGATGAGAGGTTTAGTACCCTTGGTAGTTGTAATTAAAAAACGGGTTTTGTTCAACTGTCAAACTGAGGAGGATATGCTCTTGGCCTAATTTCTTGTTTATGAATAAGTTCTTTAAGGATGGAATTTCGTGCCAACATCTATAAACCTCCCCTCATGAGTCTTGGGAATCAGTTTGCGAAATGGAGTAATTTGTACCATCTCAAAATGAACATACAAACAGCTTTACTAGAAACCCCCAAGACCTTGACGATCGAAGAGATGCGTGAAAGTTTGGTTTCTGAAGATGTGTTTTTCTTCAGGTTCTTGTATGCATTTCATGCAAATGATCTCCTTTCTCCCTTCTATGGTATTCAACGATTTTGAGTTTTAGTGCCTCTATGATTCTGGGCAGCTGCACTCCCGATTATCACACTACTTGCCTTTTGGAATGAAATGAATATTTGTATCTCAAAGCATTTGAAACTTTTCTGACTAGCCATTTGGCAAGCCTGCAGAATGTTTTCCCACTAGCTTGAAAACGTCATTGCAACTATTCCTTTGGAAATTAAGGATTGAATTCCATATTTTATTTAACATTTAACTCTGTTGACCCCGTGTAATGATATCTCCCTAAATATCCATTTTGACCACCTTAGCTAGCCTGCAGAATTATAGACTTGCTAAGGAATAATATAAGCATAAATTGGATAACTGTCATGCCACAGAGGGCCTATGATCTCTATCCAGAAAAGACAACATTTCATACTACAGGACCTAACCATTCCGGCGTCAGCCGACATCTGCTTCCTTAAAGGGCAAGAGAAATTCTGAGTTCCACACTTCAAATAAGCTTGGTGAAAAGAAAAAATATGAGTTCACCAGCTTGAAGTTTTTAACCATTTTATTTTCCTTTTGAATTGTAGTTTTCTTGCGTTTGAGTATGCAATTTTGGATTGTTTTCTTGGCATTATAGTTGATTTAGAAGAGCTTGGTAAAGGTTTCATTTTGACCCCTCTATTGTTTACCGAAAATCTCATTTCTCCTCTGGTTGGCAGTGGTGGCGGTGGTAACAGGACTGGGATAAACGTGGTTTGGGGTTGTGCCGGTGGACGGTGGTGGGGGGTGAGATTGGGATGGAGGTTTTTTCTATAAATTTTCTTTTTATATTATGTAAATTTTTTTCTTATTTATTTAAATGCAATTATGTCATTTCAAGGCAATGTGGTGTAATTTTTGGATGGAAACTGTCAATGAGGACAAACCCCGCAAATTAATTAGAGGTTGAGTTTGGGTTGTCACAAAAAAGGTTGGGGATGTTGGCTGTAATTTACCCAAGAGTTATGCAAGAATTAATAATCCTAGCAGCCTTACCAAAACGCCTCCCTTCATGTGATTTATACTTGGTAGTGTTACTTGAGACGAGAAATCAGAAGACTAGCATCAATCACTACAAACTGGACTCAAACAAAGAAAACATGCACAACTGCACAATAGGTTAATTCACGGACATGTGTGACTAATGTCTATACCAGATTGAATTGATCAATTGGAATTCTAATGCTAATAATTCTTTGAATTAGATCAAACCATTTTTGTTAGTGAACCTTTTAAAAAGAAAGCTCAATTTACAGAGTTTGACATATAACTGAGCAGATACAAATCTTGTGATAATGCAATTAGTTAATTGAGAAAATAGTACATCCCCTGGGTATTTAACTATTACACAGATACTCCATGTCTTTTCAAAAGTTACAGAAACGTCCCCTCTAGGCAGCAATAATTTTAACTTCCGTATATCTTTACAATAGATTTGGAATTTTTTTTCTCATTTTTTCCCTCTTATTTTAATTTAGATAAGGAAAATGTCCTTTCAGCTTGAAGAAAGGTCCTTTTTTTTCTCTGTGATAATGCTTGCAACTCGATAATATTTTTCGAAATGAAATTTTTTAGTTAAATGAAGAAAGAACAAATTATAAAAATGTTGACTAAGAAGAGGAAAAAAATAATAATCCAGAATGTGAACCTAATTCAATGCTAACTTTAATTTTCTATATTTAACCTTTCAAAAAAAAATTAGAATTGAAGAACATAAAAATGGAAGGAAAAAAAAATATTTTACGTTGTACATTGCAAATGAACTCATGGTTGGTGAGGCAATCAAAATCAACTCAAAGCTGATTATGTGAGGCCTTTTTTATGCCTCGATTGAGTAAGTTGCACGCCTGAATGCTTTTGAGGTTCTTGATTTTCCAAACTCACTCACTTTGCTTTAGGTGTGGGTCTGCATGACATTAAAAAAATTCATGATTGACCAACATTTGGAATAACTTAGTGCTCATTTAAACATTAAATAAATATTTTTTCATAGACCCACCTACAAACTATAAGTAACAATTTCTTCTTTGTTACTTCCTACATTTTTCTTTTGTTTGTTTTGACGCTTTATTACGAATTTAATCTTGAAGATTGTTAATGAGTTATTATGCGTTTACTTTGCATTTTGATATTTTTTGACATTTTTTTGGTTTATTATGATGCTTATCCTCAAAACACCTTGAGGCTTACGAACCTCTCTAAGAAAAATGCCTCAGTACCCGTTTATGCCTTTTTAAACATTGAATTAACCAATATGATTTTTTTGAAGAATTTTCATCCATACCCCCTCAAAAAGATGACTCAAAACCATGCCAATGACTTGGTAAGGCTTCACATTTACCACTTGAGATAAGCCTCGGTCTTCAACTTGATTAATTTATATCAATATTTATTTTACTAATAATTTTAAAGGTAGTACAAATATAGAAGTGTGTAAAAGGAAATACAAAATTGTTTTTGAGTGAAAAGGGAGAATATGTTGTCAAAATCTAATCTCTGTGGAGATTTCTGTAATTTCTAAGAGATGAAGCGTGTCTCTGTAATAGTCATATATCTGGAGGTGTTTGATATTATTCTATTTAATTCTGTTCATGTCAATTGCACTATATGTTTTTTCATTCTTTCCATAGAAATTAGTTACTTTGGCTACAACGTTGATAGGATTCTAAGCAGAAAAGGAATCAAAGAATAGCAACATAATTTTATCTTTTGTACATGGGATGCACCCCGTGGTGCTCGCTAAATGAAGAACATTTTATCTGCTTCTCAGAAAAATGGGAAAATTTTGGAATGTGAGGAAGTACAAAATAAATTTTCAGGACATAACTGTTGCATTTGTAGATACTTTCAGATGTTCTCTTAAAGATTTGTCGCTGGCTGCATCATACTAGTAATTGTTTGCCTATTGCACGATTTTCAAAGAAGCAAAAGTGACGTGGAACACAATCGAACAAGAACAAGATTGAGAAAGAAAGAGGAAGAATAGTGCAAATTTAGAGGGACAAAATATCAATTTATTCAAAATCAAATTTAAGTATTACAATGTAAAGACCTTCTTTATATAGGCTTAAATTAATCTAACACAGGTAGGAAACAACTAATAAAATAATGGAAAATCTATTAAATAAAATCATAATTACGTTTCCTAAAATAAGTACCCAATTTGAAAAGTATCCCTTATAATATCTCTACTAGGATTTCCATCAAAAAGATTCAAGTGTTTGGCATTATGTGGATTAACAAGGTATAATACATTTCAAATCAAGTTTTCCTTTTTGCCAAAATTATTTAAATGTACACTGTGATGAATTTGTGTGTTTATCCTCCTTTTTTACAGGTAAGAGAGGGAGGGTATGATCACAAGGTGAATGAGACTGTCAGTGTTGTGACTGCAAAGACATCAGAAATCGGACAAAAGACATGGGGAATTATGAAAGGGGTAATGGCTCTAGCTTCACAAAAGGTTGAGGAATACACCAAAGATGGATCTGGCTGGAAGAATGATGGCTGGCAACGGAATGAGACTGAAAGGAATGGTTACTATCAGGAGTTTGGACAGCAGTCTAAAGGATGGAATCATTCTCCTGGATTGCAACGCTCATCTGGTCAACAGTTCAACTCTGTCAGTTCTGGCTCCTGGGATGATTGGGATAGTAAAGACAACAAGAAAGAAGAATCATCTAAGGGAACAACACACCATGATGGGGATAGCTGGGCAGGCTGGGATGACGGAAAAGATGACGGATCTGATAATTACTATCAAAGTGCATCTGATCACAAGGCTATGGGTTATAATGGAAAATCGGATAGCAAGTGGTCAGAGGGAGGTTTTCTTTAAGGTTAGCATATCTCATTCACAATTCTTTTTCAGAAAAATTTCCCTTCCAAATTTAGTTTTGTCTTTTGAACTTGTTGGAAGGCTTGTGCGTTCAAGATAGTGTAAAATTGCCCCCCCAAGTGTGTGTAATGCTTGATTGTACTGCCAGGATAGTTCCTTTGTGGGTTTGAAAATTTAAGACAGCATTCTGATTTATAATGAAATTAGTTGCTTTTTTATGTTTCATTAGTATGTATACTTTTATCACAATTCAAGGTGCTCAAGTACTCTGCTTGGGTTTAGTTTGTCATGGCGTGTAAATAATTCTACCGATAGTCTTTTCATGGTTTGTCCACGACTGTTGGTTAGAATTAAGTTCGTATCAAATGGATGGTCCAGTTCCACCAGTTTTGAAAGGGTTTGAAGAAGGCTGATTAGAAATCATTATTGTATCCATTAATTAATCTTTATAGCTCGTGATCAGATCTCTTTATTAGGTTTTTTTATTTTTTGTGCTGAAAAGCCATTAACTTGAAATCTTTCCATGAAATTTCAAATGGCGATTTCAAGGGAGAAACCATGTAAAAATGGGATAGCTAGAAGTTCCAAATTTTATTTCAGGTATGAATAATGGGAAGGCTATCTGGAGTCGGTAATTTCAATTTGATGTAAAAGTGCAAAGGTTACATACTGTTGAAAAGGGGGGAATTCGGCATTATTTCTTTCTGCAGCTGAGCGTTAGCCTAAAGCTACAATTTCCGGGATTAGAACATGGAAAGTGAATCCATTTTGCACCATAGGCTGGTGTGTATGCATTACAAATTTGTCAACAGAATTGTATTTGTAGTCCACTGTCTTTAATCTTCATCGACCTGCCTTTCCCAAACTCAAATGAGTTCGATAGCTGGCTCTGAGCTAATGCTGATACATCTCTGACTCTATTACATGTCCACTTCTCAATATACTCTGCAGTACCATTGCACCAACTGATATAGAAGCCTCTTTGCTGAGCCTAGTCTGGCTCCTGTTCAATGTAAAAATTCGATATTTACTCATTGAGGGCAGTTTTTATTAGATGCAAATATTGGAATTAGTTCTAGTTGGTTAGGGCAGCAGAGAGAGACTATATACTCTTTGTTAGGATCTGTATTTTTGCTACCGTGGAGTCCGAGCCCAAAACAATGGTCCACGAGTACTGCTACCGAGTGAGGTGCATTTGTTAGTACCACGCACTGGAAGTATGGCCTACATTGATCTCCACATTTTCATCACCATTTCTTGAAATTGTGCTCATCAAATGTTGCGATGTTGGGAGCATTGAATGCTGGAAAACCCTATTTTTGAGGGTGTCGAACCACAAGTATTCTAAGACGATCAATAAGTGAGTTCAACTAGCTGAATATTCATCAAAGGCTTGGACATGAGCACGTATGGTTGTATCGAATAAAAGTGACTTAGAATGGGAAGGGGTTAGGTTTGGAGTCGCAACGTAATATTCATGTCCTTTTTTCTTCTCCTCCTATAGTTTCCCTTGGAATTACTTGTTTATTTGTTTTAGCTTGAGGCAGTCGACAGGAAAGGGACCCTTGAAAGCAACACTTTTCACATATTTCTGAGTTATGCCAGTAACGGGATTAACCGAGTAATAACATATTTCTTAAATCTTTTAATTAAAAAACTTCCGCGACATGTGTTTCATAGCAACATAGTAAACACGTGGGTTTATTGTACACCAATTAATGGGGAAAAAGAAAAAAGAATAATGCTATTCATCCCCACTGAGGATGAAAACACAGTCTATGTGACGTTAATGTGACATTAAATGATAGGTGAAATTAAATAAGTCATTTAATTTCACCTTTCATTTAACCTATCATTTAATGCCACACAGACTGTTTTCATCCCCAGTGAGGATGAATAACATTACTCAAGAAAAAAACTTCGAACTGGAGACTTATTGTTTTAATAATGTAGAACTTGGAATCCAGAGTCACATACAGCAAGAGCATATTATTATTAGCATTCTAAAAAGTTAGCACAGGCTAGACGTTTTTGCCGGAAGCGACGCTTTCTTTTTTTATTTTTTAATTCCCATATGGCTGAATTTTTTTCCTTTCTATCTTTCGTCTTCCTTTTGACTTTAGCTTCAAGTTTTTAATAGACTTTATCAATACGAAAGTTAAAATGAATTTATTCGATTAAAAGTTAAATAAAATTTAAGTTATGGTGCTATCTACATTATGTAATTATAATTTTGAAACTCGTTACTTCGTTGAGAACTTCGAAAGTACACATGAAGCTCCTAAAAATCTATTAAATAGGACTTATCTTGTTGAAAATCAAAACTATAAAAAATAATGTAATTTTTACATTTTGAAAACTTGAAAATTGTATAATTAACTAATTTTAAGAATTAATAAGTAAATATAATATTTTATAATTTTAGATGTTTGATATGTATTATTAAATGATTTTTAAAATAATTAAAAATTTAATATAATATTAAAAATAAGAAAATGTTTTTTTACACAGACCTCGTTTAGACTTGTTTAAGCTCCTAAAACTTGAAACTTCACCTTCACGCCTAATCACGCATTACGCTTTTTTGAATATTGATTAATATTAAGAGCAAAGGTTGAGCAAAATTGAGGGCTAAAATTATCTCGAGGGTTAATGGGAAGAATACGGTGATACATTAATAAAGAGCTATCGAGCCTACAAGATTCCAGCTGCATCCACTTGTTCTTGGGCACTGTCGGTTGGCTCCGTTGCGGCGCTTCTTGCTTTTCCGTCAATATTGGTTGGCGCAGTCCATTTCCAGCTGCCCCCAATATCTTGGCACCATCTTCAAACTTCGGAAGAGAGATTATGCAACCAATATTTGACGAAAAAGCAACGAAGCTTCCACAAAACGCCAATATGTTGAAGTGGCTGGAATATTGTGGGCTATGATGACTTTTTATTTGGGTATCACCACATTATTCCTTCATTTCAGGCCTCATTTTTGCTCTTCGTAATCCTATTCTCTGGACACAAGGAAAATAACTCAAAATATGGACTAGCACATTATCCTGTCTCATAGTGGTTCCAAATATGTCCACAAGGTGCAACGAGTGGAGGCCAAAGAAAAGAGCAAGGGAGGATTAAGACCAATCTTGCCAAATGAGTGCACCCACCATTTTCAGGGTCCTACCCAGCTAAGTTCTCTTTTCATTCACACAAGCTTATCCATTTTCTGGATCCTGCCAAAGCTAAAAATTCTTCTCATTCACACGGCTCATATCTAATTGATTCAAAGAGGCATATGCTGTTCAGCATCTTCCTTGTCCCTATAGATAAGATAGACACCATAAAATTCAAAACCAAAGCTGATAATTTTCAACTCAATTATTACATAAGGACTTCAAAGATGCTTCGAGCTACTTATCATCTCTACACCATTTTCCAATTTCCACTTGTGATAAGATACAAAACACGTGTCGCCTGGCCCGAATTCACTTTGCCCTAGCTTTCTTAAAGGCACTGTACTTATGCTGCCTGACGTATAAACAATCTTGATTATCATCTCTTCAACAATGTAGTGTCTGGTAGGGAGGATTAAATAACAGTGGACCGCATTGAGGAAGAAACGGAAATCTTATTTCTTGTACTGTCTAGTGTGGTCTAAAATAGTAGATAACAAACATGCACTGATCGGTGAGGCAAGAAATGTGGAGATTCAGAGCGTATCAAGCCCTAAAACCTTGGCTTTTGCCTTCAAGGACCTCAAGTAGTGAATTGCTTTGTCAATAATGACAACTGCATCCTTACCCTTCCCACCAGGAACTATCCTCTGCAGAATGTTCACAGTTTCAAGTACGTTATTTTCCCTAGACCTTTTCTTACCAGATACGGTACCCAACTCTTCAGAATCTTGACCATTTGCATAGCCACAACTGGATTCTGCGTCATCCTCCAATTCAGAGCTTGTGTAGGTTTTCAAAGAGCCTGCAGTGTGCATAAGTGGTGGCACATCATAACCTGCATGTAAGAGTTTCTGCCTTTTGGTTGGCTCAGCAGAACGAAGCACATCCCCGTCTTTGACCGAAACAGGTGCACGACAATGGGTCATAGTACTAGGAGGTGAACGACCTGTGCTTGTTTCTTCGTCATCCTCAGAACTCTCACTGTCACTATCAGAGAAGAGCAAAGCATTCAGTTCTTCTGTGTCTTCATGCATCTCACTTTTCTTGTCATGTTTATAGTTATTTTCATTGTATTCATCATTCATAAGTGGCACCAAACGAGCTCTGGTACTTCGCATCTCTTCTTCATTCAAAACATACGGGGCAGGAGGCTTTGGCCTCGAAAGAGTCGTACACTGAACTGGAGTTTCAACCCCAGAACTGTAAATCAAGGTTGTTTTGCCACCAGATTGATCAAAAACTAGGAATTTCTTCTGAGCAGTTCTAGTGGCTGCGTCAGGACTTCCTTTCACTCTGAAACTTTCAAGAGGGGCTGTAGGAAGTCTCTCTGTGGAAACAGGATTTGGTACGGGAGCAAAGGTCTGCTGGAAAGGCAGATAGTGTAACCAATTTCGAGAGACATTCAGTTCACTTGCCTTAGATTGTTGCATCCCAGAACCTGGAAAGAGTGGAGAAGTTCCAAATGTAGAATATTCAGAGTAGCGATTCATGTAAGCAGGCACAGCACTTAGCGGCCCTGTGTCAATTGGGGAGCCCAAGGAATTTTGATTGCGTGATTGCCAATCGCGATATAACCACGTTCCAAAATTCTTTTCCATTTAGGCAAAACAATCACCTATCGATGGGCAAAATGTACTAATCAGATGCATCCAATACAAAAGCTATTATGCAGAAAAGTTAAAACAGTAGGACATTGTAGACCTACCGGTCAACCAATACTTGTATTCAAAATCACTGATTATTTGTTGTACTTGTCTCTTTGAGGGCAAACAAATTTACAAAAACTAAAAAAATCCAGCTTATAACTTGAAAACACCAGAAAAGAATCCAATCTACGTAACAGGTTTAAGCAAATGTCGGAAATACTCAGCCTGAAATAAACCAAAAAAAGAAAAGAAAAAAATTAGAATTCTACAGCCATATACTAAAATGACATGAATATCAAACATCAATAATTATGGGATTTATATCCTAAAATATCAAGTATTATATACAAACCTGGCAATCCTGGAGAGGTTGAAAGCATGCTATGACTCTAACTATTATGGTGGCACGCCCAGCAATTCCGTTCTCATGTTTCAATGCCCGAAATCTTGTCTGGCTAGCCGCTTGGCACACCATAACTTCTTGTCCGAACCAGTTCAATTAAATAACTCGACAATGTTCTGAACGAAGTAATAAAAAACCCAACAATAGGAAAACTCTTGGCAAAGCTAAACCACAATACCCCAACAGGAAATTATAACAAAGCACAATTGACAACCCCTTCTCTTAAGAAAATCTGCGATCTCCCAGCCGAAGATGACAGATAAATCACTAAACTTAATCAATAAAAAGAAAAGACAAAATAACACAATTGTCTAGGAGATAAGACTGGAGAATATGCCAAGAACTTCCAGAGTAGAACAAAAGCTCAGCTGATCATGCGTACGTAGCAAGGAATGACCACAAAGCGAGTAGATCCCATGGAAATAAAATTAAGTATTCTAAGCGTGATAAGAAAGTATGTGGCTAAGCGGTGTAGTTTTCTGAATTGAGGAGATTTTACAGAATCACATGGCAGTACAAGTTCAAAGAGATAACTTTCTGGAACACTTCAATGGAGAGACTATACCACCGCATGCTGTTCTTCAATTTGCCACGACTAATGACTTTGCTTTTCCTGTTGAAATTTTGAAGTATATTAGATCCAGAACCATGACGAGAAACTAAGAGAATTTTCTTAACATGATGAAAAGAAAGACTAATTCTATAATTCCTTTTTCCCAATCTCTTGGATACCATTCAAAAAAAAAAAAAAACAAAAAAAACATTTAAGTTTCTTAACGTTGACTATAGGATAAAATGAAAGAAATCTTTGTTGTTTTTTTTTTTTTTAATTCAAAATCTCTAATTTCAATCCAAAATTGGTAAGAAAATCTTCTTACTTGAGCAAAAAAGATACTAATATACGAGCTCGTCAATAATTTGTCCTATGTAACTGAATAAACACTAAAGCATCAACCCTTTACTTCTTTTCTTCTGATGAATAAAGATAAAGCACAATTCGTAAAGAGTTAGTCTCGCAGTTATCAAGCAAACCAACAGACCTACAACTTATGCTCTCAAATAATTCAGATATACTCAAATAAAGAATGTAAGGAGCGCTGCTAGAACTTCTAACAAAGTATTCAGATAACTTTTTCAAATGTAGATTGAGTTTAAATAAAAATTTCAATATATGTACTATCAATTAAAAAAACATTAGGACAAATATTGAATCCCAGAAACCATCTTGTTTTTATCTCATTCTCAATTTTTTTTTTTAAGTGTAAAACAAGTCTTATTCGGTTATTCCATTCAACAAGAATCTATTTTTTTACAAAAATGCGAGGTTTACATCTACTTTGACATTTGATGTGCTGTTAACTAGCGATTGAAGGGAAAATTGTTTATTTTTTAAAAATGTCTAATGGTGTGTCGTCATGCGACAAAGTATAAAGAATGATATACATGTAGCATGATTGATTTTATTCTGAAGATGATCAAATGTGATCCTTAATGTACAATGTTAGAGCAAATTGTGGATGTATATACCAAACAAGAGCTTAGCATCTTGTTAATCCATCACGCTTCAGAAAATTAAAGAAGTGCCAGTACTTAAATAACAACGTACGGAAGCATTTGTTAAAAAATATTAATTTATTTGTTTACCATGGAGGACATCCTTCAGTATTTAAAAATCATTGTTTGAAAATTAATTTTAAAAAAAGTTATTTTTTGTTTAAATTCATAGTCCAAACTTCACTAATGTCCTGTTTGGTTCTACTAAAAAAAATTAATTAAAATTTAAGTTAAAGTCAACTATGAATTTTAACTACGTAATTTATAAAACCCACAAATTTTTAACCACAAATTCTATCAATTTTTATCAAAATCTACTAAGAATTTGATTTTTATCTAAATCAAACAAGGGCTAAATTTCACAAATTTCGATCAAATTTTAAATTAACTAACTTACCAAAATGGCCTTTTGCAACATGCAAAAGGCAACATTCGTGATTAAATGTTGCTAAAGGGGTCTACCGCAACATTGTAGTAAATGAATATTGCTATTGACTAACATATTTGAGCTTTCGTAATATTTTTTAAATAAATGTTGCTAATGTCGCATTTTGCAACGTTTTATAAATGTTGCGAAAAGTTTAAGTTTTGCAACCTTTTTTGAACGTTGTTGAAATTTGTATCTATAGCAACGTTCAGGGCCTGTTGTTGAAACTCTCAATATAAAGCATTTTTGCAACGTTTATTGACTGTTACGAAAAGATTACCTTTTGCAACTTTTTTAATTGTTGCGAAAAATTTAATTTTTTGCAATGTTTTTTGTCTCCGAGTCTAAAAAATGTGGAGAAATACAAATTAAAAACGAAATTCGTATGAAATAATACAGCATGAGACCAACGATATTAAGTATTCTTCATATTGACTTGAAATAATTCTCCCTTTGTCACGTCTAAAGTTCAAGATTCCTCCTCTATATCTAAATTGAGGATATCTTATATTCTACTCTCTATAGCATGAAGAAAATGAAGTGGGATTATTCAAGAATCTCAATAACAAGTCTGCCTGCCGGCGTTCATTACCATGTGGATCATTGACATTAATTAGTCATTAATTTATCTATATGAATGCAACACATGTATTTTTTAATTGCCTAATAATTTCTTCACCAATTATTTTTCAATAATTTATCTAAAACATTATGACTATGCAAAGCTGTACAGCCTCTCTCTCTCTCTCTCTCTCTATATATATATATATATAAAGAAATGATCTAATGAGCACCGG